CGAAGGTCAGAAGAGGCTGTCAGATCCCCTGGGACTGGAATTTTGGACAGTTGTTAGCTGCCATGTGGGTGCTGGGATTCAAACCCGGGTCTTCTGCAAGAACAACCAGTGTTCTTAACCACTGAGCAACCTCTCCAGCCCCAGCCTTTTTTTAAAAAAAAATTTATTATTTTTACTTAATGTGTATGTGTGTATTGCCTGCATGTAGGTAAGTGCACCCGTGTCGTGCAATGCCTGAGGATAGAAGAGGCTGTCAGATCCCCTGGAACTGGAGTTATGAATCGTTATTAGCTGCCATGTGGGTGCTAGGATTCAAACCCTGGTCTTCTGCAAGAACAGCCAGTATTCTTAACCGCTGAACCATCTCTCCAGCCCCTCGTGTGGCCTCTTTTTTGGGGGTGTTTGGGAGGCAGAGTCTTATGATATAGCCCTGGCTGGCCTGGAACTTACTATGTAGACCAGGTTGGGCTGGAACTCAAGAGATCTGCCTGCCTGTGCCTCCAGAGTGTTGGATTTAAATGCATGTGCCACCATGTCCAGCCTCCTATTTTTGAAACAGAGTCTCTCACTGAACCTGGAGCTTGTCATTTCAGCCAGACAGCTGGCCAATGAGGCCCAGGATCTGCATGTACCTGTCCTTTCCTCATACATGTCCCCGCCTCCCCCCAAGCACTGGAGTTACACCACACCTGGCTTTTTTTTTTTTTTTTTTTTTGTCTTTTTGAGACAGGGTCTCCCTTTAGCCCCAGCTAGCCTCTAACTTGCTATGTAGATCAGACTGACCTCAATCTTAGAGATCCACCTGACTGCCTCCTGAGTGCTAGGATTAAAGGCATATACCACCACACCCAGCTCACACATGGCTTTTTAAAAATTGTTTTTAAAGATTTTATTTTTATGTGTATGACTGTATTGCCTGCATGCATGTAAGTGCACCTGTGTCATGTAATGCCCATGGAGGTCAGAAGGCTTCAAATCCCCTAGAACTGAAGTTATGGAGAGTTGTTAGCCACCATGTGGATTCTGGGAATTGAACCTGGGTCCTCTGCAAGAGCAGTCAGCCCTCTTAACCGCTGGGCCATCTCTCCAGCCCTCACACATGGCTTTTATACGAGTTCTGAAGACCCTAACTTATGTCCTTGTGATTACGTAGAAAGCACTTTACCCACTAAGCCATCTCCCCAACCCTGGCTTGGTCTTTTAAGTTTTTGTTGTCTTTTTTTTTTGGTCTTTTTGAGATAGGGTCTCCCTGTAGCCCCAGCTGTCCTGGAACTCACTATGTAGACCAGGCTAGCCTTGAACTCACAGAGATCGATCCGTCTGCCTCTGCCTCGTGAGTGCTGGGATTAAAGGCGTGCGCCACCATGCCCAACTCTTTTTTTTTTTTTTTTTTTTTTTTTTGAGACAGGTTCTCTCTGTAGCCTCAGCTGGCCTGGAACTTGCTGTGTAGACAAGGGTGGCCTCCATCTCACAGAGCTCCATTTGCCTCTGCCTTCCAAGTGGTGGGATTAAAGGCATGCACCACCAGTCCTGGCAAAAAGATTTTTATGTATGGGGGATGGGTATGTTGGAGGCCAGAAGAGGGTGTCAGATCCCCTGGAGCTGGAGTTACAAGCAGTTGTGAGCTGCCAGACATAGAATATGAACTGAGGTCCCCTGGAAGAGCAGCAAGTGTTCTTAACTGTTGAGCTATCTCTCTAGGCCCCTGGCTTGGTCTTTTAGGAAAGGGTTTCACTATGAAACCCAGACTGACTTCAAACTCTTGATCCTCCTGCTCAGTCTCCCAAATGCTGAGATTATAAATGTGCACCATCACACCCAGTTTGGGATCCCTCCTTCCATTGTGCTGTTACTGGGTCCAGCATTTCCATCATGAATGGAAAAATAAATAATTTCTTAAGCCCTGACATGTACTATTTTTAAATTTAAGTCCCTGTTTTGATTGTTAACATGGTATTCTATACCGGGGATTTTCCACTTGGTTTGAGTATTGTTTGAATTGCTTTAGCAGCTAATGAGGTCATAAGCAGGAGTCACAGGCTTAGGTTTACAGGGTTTTGCCTAGTTATATACATGGGGAAAAACCACCTAGAACAACTGTTCTGAGGGCAGCAGATGGGCACAGTAGGTATTGCTGGCCAGGGACTGGGCATGACACTGATTGATACATACCAGTCTTTAGATTTCTTGAGTTGGGGGTCAGTAATTATAGAGCCACTCCTGTTCACCACTCAGCATGACCCAACCACAAACCTGGCACCCATGCCACTGACTTGCCTCATGGCACAGAACAATATACTCCAGGACCTGGGCACTGTGGGCACCAGCAGAGAGAGATCAGCTTCACTGAGCACAGAGGCAAAATCCAAGCCAGTCCAAACTTCAGGGCCAGCCTCCTAATGTAGGCAAACAAGCTTCCCTGAGACCTGGTGAGGCAGACTTCCAGGTCCAGACCACTCTGGGACACAGGACCTTTAGGGCTTAGGCAAACATTCCCCCAGGATTCCAGGGACCTGTACACCATGGCCCCCATAACTGTCCATTGTAGGTAATCGGTGACTATGACAGGTTTGCTAGGCTGAGGAAAAGGCACTTTGAAGGCCACAATGTCTCTGAAGTCAGGCCTGGAGCTTCTGTGAAGGTGGAGGGGATATTCGAGGGGGTATCCTGAGACAAATAAGCTGTAAGGGTCCTCAACATTCTGGTCTAGTCCTTTCCCATACTATCCTGGGAATGGTATGGGCTCTAAGACACTGAACCTCCAACCATGGTTACAACCCTACTGGGATTTCCAAACCCTACTAAGCTTCTTTCTTTCCCCTTCCTGAGCTCCAGGGTCTAAGCTTTAATTTCCTTCTGACTCTGACCACCTCCCTGAACTCTGACAGGCAGGTGGGGTCAACCAGTCTTAGCTCTGACCAAGCCTGGCCTCAGCTCTAACCTGGTCAAGGGTAGAAGTACCTAGACAAGTTCATGGCAGTGGCAGCCAGAGGTGGAGCAAAGATCCCTTCCCCACAGAACATGTGAGAAAGTAGGGGCAGAGTGGGCAAGGTGACCCCCAACTCTTTGGTGCTGCCCTAACCTTACTGTTGTAGATATTCCCAAAAGCAGTCATGGGGCCAGCAGATGGGGAGTATCACTGCTCAGATTCCAGAACTCCAGCTATAGAAAATGGTGGGGCTGGTGAGATGGCTCAGTGGTTAAGAGCACTGGCTCCTCTTGCAGAGGACCCAGGTTCAAATCCCAGCACTCACATGGTGGCTAACAACCTATAACTTCAGTTCCAGGGTATCTGATGCCCTGTTCTGTCCTCTGCGGGCACTGCATGACACAGGTGCATTTACATACATACAGGTATAACATTCATACACATAAAAAAAATCAAAAGCTTTTAAAAAAACAAAGTAGTTGAAGGCAGGAAATCTAGGAGGGTCAGGGGTATGGGGAATAATATATATATTGGGACTAACTGTTGTGGGACACAATGAGTGCAAAGTTTTAATGCTACAGTGCTTGAGGCTGAAAAAGGGGAATCTTGGTGCACTACTGGATGGCTTCGCAGAAGTTGATGAACAGATGGAGATGGGCAGTGTTAAATAGAAATTAAAGGGTTTGTAGGGGCTGGGGAGATGGCTCACATGGTGGCTAGCAACCATCTGTAACTTCAGTTCTAAGGGATCTGACCTGATGCCCTCTCCTGGTCTCCATGGGCCACTGTACACATATGGTGCACTTACATACATGCAGGCAAAACACTCACAGACATAAAATAAAAATAATTTTAAAAAACTTTTAAGGGTTTGTAACATTCAAGGCAAAAAGGGAAGAGACATTCTTTGGACTGAGTCTTCCTCCAAATATGCTTTTTTTGAAAGTTTTAAGAGTAATGTATATTACTATTGTAATTAAATAATTCCTTTCTTCCATTCCCAAAGCACTCATATGAGGGAATATGCTGATTCAGCTAGCTATGATAGGGCTGACTAATTACCAGGTTAGGAAATGGCATCCACTCATGTGCAAGGCTCAGTCTATAGTCACTACAGCCTTACAAACCTTAACTCCTAGAAGCTCAATACTCAAGGTCAAGGACAAATCAGAGTGGGTCAAAGACACCAGAAAACAGGTACAGGCCCACCAACAAGCATACAAGCATCCTTATTATTCTCTGCCTGCCATCAGATCTTGCTGCTGCCATAGCTACTCTGGGAGATCACATTCTCAATGTCATAGCCTCTTCTGTCCAGAGTCACAGAAACATTTCTCAAGAGACCTGGTGGGGGTGGGGAGCCCAAGACTGACTAGACAGGAGGTGCATGGTCAGCTTCACCCCAGTTTCATAGCACAGGCTGCTCCCTTAAACATCCAATAATAACCCAGAATCCCAGAGGACCTAAGATACCACAAAAATATTGTCCCTACAACACAAAAATAGTCTCTCCAGAGCCCTTACCTTCTTTCCCAACTGCAGGTGACTGACAAGAAAACAGGGCTGAGACCATGGAAGTCACAGTTGAATTAAGTTTGAAGGCTCTTGAAACAATCAAAAACCAAGTTGCTAGTGAGCAGGTAGCAATTCACTTGAGCAGCCATACCAGCAAACATATCTAGCAGTTGCTGGGCAACTACTTCAGCAGTCTGGGAGGAACAGCATGTGAGTAGAGATTTCTCCATACCTCAACCTTCTCCATGAAGAGGCCGGATTTCTCTCCCTCCTCTGGCTGCCTCTTTGTGAAAGAACCAAATCCTTATCCTCTTGTGGCAACAGGAGCAGAACTAGGAAAGGAATCAATCTGGCTGTAAGTACTGGGCACCAAGAGCTGTAATCAAGCCTGACAGGATAGAGTGGGTTCCAATCTGGGCTACTCACAAATTAAGAGTGGCTCTTAGGTCATTCCCATGTAGATGTAGTCATACACACACTGTAGATGAAAGCAGACTCCCAAAGGCAAATCACATGCAGGATCATAGCACAATTGGCAAAAAAAGGCTCCAGAGCATGGGGAACCGAGGGTGGATGCACCCAAGGGAGGAATGTTAAAAGCATCTACCAGATACAGAAGGGGTGAAGGAACAAACATGGAGGTACACAAAGCTTCTCATAGGTTCACTGCACAAGGCAGCTGGTACTAGTAGGGCTCAGGCAAATCATGAGAAACAATTTCTCAAATGAGATGTTCCCATTCCCGGCCCATAAAAGCTGCCACTAGACACTTCTGGGGAATGTGTCCCTTCCCTATCTGCCTCAGTTACTACCTTTCAGCCTGAGCAGATACCAATGGACTACAGATTCACAGAGCAGCTGCTTCCACTCAGGGTCCAGCCTACACTCTGAGACAATATGCACCAACAATGTTCAAAGCGCACAGGCCATGGTAGGTGGCAAGGTGACGGTGGATTTGGGAGGATATGGAATACTTGGGAATCCACTCAGAAAGTACTGCTGAGGCATAGGTGGAAACCCTCCTGGATCCACTACCACAGGCATCACAGAGAGGGCAGGTCTTATGGTCCAGATTCAAAGCCCAGCCTCTTGTAATCAAATGATAAAGTCAGGGCTAGTCAGTCACCTTCAGCAGATGAGAGGTACTTCAACCCTTTCAAGCCTATTCCATTTCCTCAGACAAGCCTAAGCAAAGCTTTAAAGCTTTAGCCAGAGCTTGCTGAGAGAAAAGGAAGGCCAGGCTATCTGCTTCATCTCCAGAGAGGAATACCGCAAAGGCTCCCTTCCCTGGCCTAAAAACCTGCTAGATGCAAGATTTCCCATTGAGCTGCCCACAACCTTGAATGGGGCCCATCTGGTTAAACACTGGGACAATCCCAAGGAGAGATGTTCTACCTCACAATGGCTCAGTCCCTAACCTCAGAATATTTCTCACAAATCCACAGATGCCAACACCTGAATTTCCCCTCATCTCTCTAGAATAGTCTGGGAGTTGTCTCCTTCCATAATGTCACCCTATCATTCAAATTAATGACCTGCTCCAAGCTACCAGGACATTCTCTCCAGACCTTATTCCTGGGGCTAATTTTGCCAGATTCAAGCTGGCTTTTGCCACCACACATATCCCCCTCCCCACCACTGGGGAAAAAAAAAAAAGACCAGGGGGTAAGCAGGGAGACTGGAAGGTGAAAGGTATAAAACATGATAGATGGAACAGCGGATAAACAACGTGAAGAACAAATCACAGTGCATTGCGCCATGAGAACACCCCTCCCATTACCCACCCAATCCCAAATCCTCAGTTTCTGAAAGGAGGCTGGTGACCACCAGGGTCCTGGAGAGGTACCCAGAGTCTGCAAAGTTGCAGAGTACACGAGCATGGCACACTGTGCCATTAGCCACATGGACAGCTCAGCTGTTTTCCCATTGTCATATGAAGGAATCAGGATGTTGAGTATGGTGGCAATGGCTGGAGCCGTACTATTGGAGAGAGATTTACATGGAGGATCCGCTGGGCCCACTGTCGAACCTCATCATCTGAGGACTTCCTGTCTACCTTTATAGCCTGGGACTTTCGAAGCTTTGTTGTCGCAGGCCCCAGCCATGCCTTAGGAGATTGGGGCACAAGTCGTGTTCTCTTCTTAGGAGGAAGATCTTTTGCCTCCTCGGCCTTTTTCCTCTTCTGCCCCACAGTCTCAGAGCGTTTTTTCTGGCCCTTCCTTCCGGTCCTGGCCTGAACAGATCCCTTTGGTCTGCCCCTGCGTTGGGTCTGAGCCGCCTTGGCCTTGGCCTGCACTACCTTGGCTTTAGCCCTGGCCCTTACCACTATGGCTTTGGCTTTGGCTCGGGATACCCTGTCCTTGGCCTGTGTTGCCTTGGCCTTGGCCTGTGTTGCTTTGGCCCGTGCTACCTTAGCCCTGGCTCGTGCTGCCTTGACCTGGGTTTGAGCCACACTAGCATGTGTACCAACAGCTTTGGTCAGTGTTCGAGATGCCTTGGCCTGGACTGTTCTGGTGCCCAGGGCAGAGGTCCCTTTAATCTGTAGGCCATTGAGGGATCCAGTGGCTCTGTATGTTTTGTTCTGGGTCCCAGTGCCTCGTTGGGGTCCAGCCCCAGGGTCTTTGCTAGTCAGATATTTGAGGCCCTTGCTTGTGTTTTTTCTGGGAGCTTTTAACTGTAGGTTCCCTGAACCTTTCCTCAGTTTCAGGGGTGAGTTCGCAAGTGACAGATGCAATGACTGTGCCTTGTGCTTAGCACTCAAGCAAGGAGTCTTAAGTGGGACCAGTGCCTCAAGGACAACAGAGAGCCGCATGGCAGGGTAGACACCTGGATAGAGGTGAGCAGGGAAGCCTACTGTTGTACCACTGGTGCAGCTAGCACTAGACTGCTTCAGGGAGCTCAGCAGCAGGTTGGTTGTAGCATGTTTGGCAAGGGCTGGTGTGGGCCCCTTGGCCAGCCTGCCGGATAGTGGCATAGGGAGCAGTGTGGCCCGGCCTGTAGGTAGTGACACAGAAGTTTGGGGAGCCCTAGTTGGAGGTGATGTGGCAGGTGGGTTGGTGGTGCGAGCCTGTAGCTTCGTCTGGCTGGGGGGTTTGGCTGTGCATGAACTATAGCCATAGACATCACCACTACGCAGAATTGTAGGTTGGAAGCCATCATCTCGCAGGCCCTGTAGGAAGGCCACAAGCTGGGCCTCTGTGGCACTGAGATCCTGGCTCATGGGATTAAAGACAAGCAGCGCCTCTTCCAGGGCTTTCTTCCCTGCCGTGGAGATGCGTGACCAGGAGTGCACAGCTTTCTCCTCCACATGCTGCACTACCATGCTCATGGCATTAGGCACTGCAGATCTGCCTGGGTATCCACAAACCAGCACTTGGCACCTCCAAAGCAAGAAGAAAAAAGTTGGTAAGAATGGTACCAAGATATGGAATGGAACTAGATCAGGTAGACAGGTCAATCAGGGCTCCCACTCTCCATGACAAAGGGACCTGGCCAGAATATATCATTCTCTAGGGTAAAACCCTGGCCTCTTGACCCCTCTACCAAACTGGTACAAGTATGAATCTGGCATTTCTTCTGGATACATGGGTAAAAGTACTTCAGGGTTATCTACTCTACTGCTGAGTTCCTGGGAAGATTGAAACCTGACTCATTTTTATTCAACTGCATTTTTCTTTGGGTTTTTGTTTTGTTGTTGTTTTGGAGAGAAGGTCTCATATAGCCTATGTAGGTCTCCAATTAATTATATAGCTAAGGCTAGCCTTGAACTCTTGATCCCTCTGCCTCTATCTCCCAAGTGTTGGGATTACAGGCATGCACTACTACACTTTGTTGTTTTTCTTTGGAGATAGGATCTCACTATGTAGCCCAGTATGTTCTAGAGCTTGCTATTGAGTCCATACTGACTTCAAACTCACAATCCTCCTGCATCAGCCTCCCAAGTGCTAGGATTACAAGTGTGTGCCAATAGCTCAGCTAAATTCTGGATTTTGTTTTGTCTTTCTGTCTCTCTCTCAATGGAATCTTGCTATGTTGCCAAGCTGACCTTGAACTGGTGGGTGCAAGCAGTCCTCCCATCTAAGCTTCCCAAGTAGTTGGGACTACAGGCATGTCCCACCATGCCCAAGTTTATATTCTGATGCCAAATATCTAGACTCAGCCCTAGGAATATAGGCAAATATTCCTATCCTTAAGGAGTCCAGATGTTAAGTCAAGACCATTAAGGTCCTCAGGAGTAGATGGTCTTACCCAATTTAGCTTGCCAGTAAGTTAGGGAAAGACTCCTGGGAGACGTAACCCCTACCTAGATGAGTAACAGAAAAGGACCTGGTGCAAAAAGTAGCATAGTAACAACTTATGCAGTGGCTCTAAAGTGACAAAGAATAAGGAACACCTAGGGTGGAATCTGAGGTCACAGCTGGGGTCAGCTGGAAAAACAGATTAAGGGCTTTGAATATAGGCCCAAAGGCCCAGAGTTACACCCAATGTCCATGCCCATCTCTGTTCCTCCAGCTGCTAGTGTTTCAGGGCGGGGGGATGGATGATCATCCTGCCCACTAGAGATTCTTTCAGGATCCCCAGACAGGCTATTCCAAAGCTCAGTTCCCTCAATAAAAGCCACAAGCTCTAAAAAAGCTGTTGAGAAGCAGATGAAAATGACATCTCTAGGTAAGCAGGGGGGCAGGTAGCCAAACCAAAGAGTCCAAGGTTTGAGACAATGGGAGACGAAAGCTCCAACTAGGATACTAAGCCAAGTGGACCTTCAAGCCTGAGCTGTCCTAACCAGAGCTTAGAGGGTTGTAGACCTCAGTATAGCACAGATGCAGTTGTTTGGGAACATCCGAGTCCCCTCAAGCTTCTTTGAAGAAGCTGTGGCCTTCAAGCACTGAGTAATATCTAGCTCCCCACCCAGAATCTGAGGGCTTCTGGAGGCAAGAGGTAGCTCCCTAGCTGTACTGGAGCATTAAAAGATCAATTGGGATGAGGCAGGTCCCTGGGGCCTTTAGGCCCGTCTGTGCTGCTCGCCTTCCACAGCCCTAATGGAGCAAATGCAGTCTTCAGAATCCCCTAGAGAAAGTGCCCTGGGGCTCTTTGGAAACATTCTTGGATCCTCAGGTGTCTGAGGCATTTCCCCTCCCCAGAGGTTGCTCTCCAAGCACAATCCTTGCACATGACTTTAGTTCTTTTATTTATTTATTTTTTTGAAGGGATATAGTTCCCAGGGCCGTGTATTGTAGAACCGGGAGGGACCTATTTCCCACTCCTAACCTCCGGCACAGTATCGGGGGTGACCCTAGGAGTTCCTCGCCTAGGTCAGCCTGAGCCCTTGGGGAGGGGTCTTCTCGGCTTTCAAGCTTCGTAAACAGAGGCTGCAGCCAGGCCGACTCGCCTTCACACATGCCTTTGGGGCCAGCAGAGGAAGTTGACTGAAGACTGGGGGCGGGAGAGGTACCATCCACGCGGACCTGTGGTCAGGGGCAGATTGGGGCCCTCAGGCTGGGAGACCGCGTCCTTGGGGCCCGAATGGCGATGGGGAGTCGGGGGGCACGGCGGCAGCGGAAAGTGTAGGGTGAACTGTGCTAGCCTGACAGGGACCGCACAGCCCCAGGGTGGGGTCGCTGGGTGGGGGTGGGGGTCTGGGTCAAGCCGGGGGAGAATGCGAATCCCGGAAGAGTCGGCCACCCGGCCCCTTCGCCCTGCCGCCCTGCTGCCTCGCGGGCCGCCAATCCGCAGCACCGTTAGGCCTGCGGCTCCAACCTACCGGCGCCACCGCGGGGACCCAGGACGCACCTCTGCGCCGCCTCCGCCGTTCCAACATGGCCGCCTGCTGCGCGCCGGAAGTGTGCCGCGCTTCCGCTTCCGGGACCCGGCTCGCCCTGGTGACCTTTGACCCCCCCACCCCCACCCCAAATTCTGGGGGCGGTGCCCACTGAGTACCAGGGAGGGCTGCCTGGAGGTGGTGGCCACGAAAACAACTCCAAACCTACCTGATCCAGTATGGGAATCTGAGGAACAGATGGTTACTTGGATTCATCCTCTGGCAACAGACACTGGAGCCCAGATAGGGCTGGATTAGGGGCCCTCTGACATTTTTTTTTCTCAGAGGACCTGGTAGTACTGTGTAGTGACATCTGGGTGACCCCTGGCAAGGTCTAAGCTGGCCAGTCTTCATTCCAGGGTCTGCTTCTTTCTCCTCACCTGATCAGAAGGTAAAAGATCAGTGTCTTTTATGCTGGCATGACTCAGGACAGTCCCTTTGTTTTGAAGCAAAGGTACTAACCTATGAGGACAGTAGGTCCCTCCTCTCCCTGAGAAATGGACCTATGGCCTATTGCATTTTCATGCTGGTATAAACATGTGAGCACAAGTGCTACACAGAAGTCCAAGAATATTGATCTCCTAGTCCAAGAATATTGATCTCCACAGTATACCCATGTGGGCCTGAGTAGACTTGCCCAGGCTTGTGTGCACAAAATAATGGCAAGATCTGGCCCAGCCACAACCCCTCAATGGCACAGTGGAAGTCCCACCTCCTCCCCCCTTTCTTTCTCTTTTGAGACAGGTTCTTCCTGTAGCCCCAGCTGACTTGGAACTTGCTACATAGACCAGAGATCCACCGGCCTCTGCCTCCAGAGTGCTGGGATTAAAGGCACACCATGCCCACCCCATGTCTCCTTTTTTTTTATTTTGGGCAGAGTCTTTTTGAGACAGGGTCTCCCTGTAGCCCCAGCTGACCTAAACTCACTATGTAGACCAGGCTGGCCTTGAACTCACAAAGATCCACCTGCCTCTGCCTCCCAAGTGCTGGGACTAAAGGTGTGCACCATCATGCCCAGCCCATGTCTACTTTTAACATTGTCCAGAATCCCTAACCTATTGTCTGGAAGATTACAAACAGTATTTCTACCTTTGTCCTATAGGCCACAGAGGGTGATTACAGAGCCCACTTTTCAACAACACCCAATTAGGGAACACAGGTCAAAATAAACCCTAGGACTGAGACCTCAGATGAAGGGTCAAAATGGTTTCCACAACTCTGAACAAAAGGCCCACTTGTCAGACACCCCCTAGCCTAGCTTGGAAGTAGTTGTGGGAACCTTGGTTTCATAGATGAGGTAGCAGAGGCATTTGCACCTGGCTCAGAGCCTGAGCCAGAAGATAGAAATACTGCTACAACTCTAATTCCCTAATCCTCACAATGGTGCCTTCTTTGGAGTTTGGGATAGGTAGAAAAAGGGGCTGGATGCTTCATTTAGGGGCTGGATACTATCCTTCCTCTTTTCTCATATAAACCTGAGATACTTTAACTGTTCTCTATTTCCTAGCCATATAGAGGGATCCAGGCAAATCTCTCTCTCTCTCTCTCTCTCTCTCTCTCTCTCTCTCTCTCTCTCTCTCCTTTTTAGCCCCAACTGGCCTGGAACTCACTATGTAGACTAGACTGGCCTTGAACTCACAGAGATCTGCCTGTCTCTACCTCTCAAGTGCTGGTAGTAAAGGCATGTGCCACCACACCTGGCTCAGGCATCTCTTTAAAGAAAAGATCTGTCCATTCCACTCAATAATAGCCCATGCCTCACTTGGTACCTGTTAAATTATCAGGACCTCAGCACAGATGGTAAAGTCCCTGAGTGCCTTCAAGTATAGCCAAGGTGTCCAACGGAGCCACAAAGTTTCTTGATATTCTGGGATCAGTGTATCTAACCCCTTATTATTATAGAGAGAAGGAAGGGGTCTCATGGGTCAAGGTCTCATGAATTATAGTCAGAAAGCCCCAATTTCACGTTTCTAGTTCCCAACTGTAAATGAGCTCTACCTTTGACCTTGTCCATTGTTGAGTGTCAGGATTGGCTTGTTTACTTCCTGACCAGTCTAACCTCACTTTCCACCACAGCTGTCTTCCAAAGCACAGGAGCCATGACTTGTGCGAAGAGAAACCACTTCCAAAAAGAAGCAGAGCTTGGCCTCCAGGGCTGGCACTAGCCCAAGTGTATCCTAGAAAGGAAATTCCTCATTGGCAATGTCCAGTCTAGAGGTCAGGGAAAAAAGTGGAGGACTAAGAAAGGTAAGTCTATTCTGACTTTGTCCCTTCTAGACATGGTCACTGAAGGAATGATAGGGGTTAGAGCTAAGGGTTAAGGGGTACCTAGCTGTCAGAGAGGTGTCCTGGTACTCAGTAAGTATGAGATGGAACTCTCAGGGAGCGCACATCAGAGTACAATTTAACATGACCTGGTCTTTGGTGGCTGCTGACCCTACACAGGCATAACCCAAATCAGATGAGGACAAGGTGGGGAAAGAACACAGGTAAGATCCATCCCTTTCTTTTTTTTTTAAAGAAAAAATTTTTATTTCCTAAATGTGATCATACTTTCTCCTTTCTTTCTTTCTTTCTTTCTTTCTTTCTTTCTTTCTTTCTTTCTTTCTTTCTTTCTTTCTTTCTTTCTTTCTTTCTTTCTTTGGCAGACAATGAAGAGGTAGGAGGGAACCAACTGGCTGAGATAAACATCTTATATAAGATCTCCTCTAAGATACTACTGCTAATTTTTTTTGTTTTTTTTAAGCATTCTTTTTTAAAATATTTTATTTATGTGTATGAGTGTATTGCCTGCACATATGTGAGTGCACCCGTGTCGTGCAATGCCACAGAGGTCAGAAGACAACTTCAGATTCCCCTGGAACTGGAGTTAAGGACAGTTTGTAGCTGCCATGTAGGTGCTGGGAATCGAACGGGGACCTCTGCAAGAGCAGTCAGTGCTCTTAACCACTGAGCCATCTCTCAGCTACAGGGAGACCCTGTCTCAAAAAGACCAAAAAAAAAATTTTTTTTTTGTTATTTTTATGTGTATACATGTATTGCCTACATGTAGGATAAGTGCACCCATGTTATGCAACGCCCTCGGAGAACAGAAGAAGCTATCAGATCCCCTGGAACTGGAGTTACGGAGAGTTGTTAGCTGCTATGTGGGTGCTGGGATTTGAACCTGGGTCTTCTGCAAGAACAGCCAGTGTTCTTAACTGCTGAGCCATCTCTCCAGCCCTTTTTATTATTATTATTATTATTTAAATTTTATGTGTATGTGTATTGCCTGCATGTATGTAAGTGTACTCGTGTTGTACAATGCCTATATGGAGTTCAGAAGAGGGTGTCGGATACCCAGAAACTGGAGTTGTTACAGATGGTTGTTAGCTACCATGTGGA